TGTCAAAATACCTATATTGAAACAATGCTATATATAAATATAATACATATCCTAAGTCGCCCTTTCGAGACATGAAAAACGCTAGTTGAATTTCATCAATCGGGCTAGTAGAACGGGAGATATTGGAACTGTCACCATTTTTTTTTCGCAGTGTACAAATCTGGTTCCGTTAACACAAGGAAAGGTTCAGTAAGAGGTTTATGATTAGCAGTATTATCTTACAATGGGATATTAAAAATAAGATGAGTAGGAAAAAGTATTAAAATCTATTTAACATACTATCAAGAAGAAGTTTTACGACCGGTTTTTGCGGAACAAATTCCACCTCAAAGCGAGAAATTTCATAAATATAAAGCAATAAGTCATACTTCAAACGTACCACTGCATCCCTTTAAAAATGTAAACTGATACAACCTATTGCATATATATTATCAACGTATTCTTGCACAATCCTCTGCCATTTTACCTATTGTTTCATTTTAACTATTGTGCCTTTTGTCTCTTGTAACAAGCTTTTTCTGGGCGCAAACCTCACGATTGCTCAAAAATATAGGAATAGTCATGGAAAATAAAGGAAGAAATATAAATAATTATCCCTGCAAATTTTACGAAAATCCCTTCTATCGTGGAAATCACGATGCAAACGTATAGTCCAGAAAAAGGCTATCAGGACGAACATTTAAAAGTACGCTTTACATTTTAAACATTATTTAAACGGCCTCGAAATCTTTCTAAAATTGTGTAAACGCCTTCTGTATTCAATAATTTGTAAATAAAGTATCGTTTAATGTTGATCAAAAGACGCGCAAGATGTGGAAAAGTCCCTATACAGCGAATGGTATTTTAGATTATCTTAACGAAATGGTGGAAAACTCTTTTTGTACATGAACAGTCCATTCTTCAGTGACAGGGTATGTTGGAATATTTTATATGCACTTTATGAAATGGCCAGATGTATTACAGCTGATCATGCTGAAGAATATTTAAGACATTATTACATGGTCAGCTGAAGTCATGAAGCCATGACTATTACATGCGCAACAAAAAGGCAAGAATAGGGGACTTGACCCTTTTAGTTCATTGAACTTGCTCAAAAACACAAGGCCTTGTAAATGATTTTGCATTATGCTACTGGTCAACGTTTTCTGTAAACTCAAAAAGGGGAAAGTTCTAAGATTAAGGATTATTAATGTAACTGTGCCATTTATCATTTAAGGACACACATTCCCGCTGTCAAAGCTTAGTTTTAGATGGATAATTTACTTGTTTACATAATTTAAATGCAATCTTGTTGTAAACTAGTTTGGTTATTGATAAAACTGTTTTCTCATGAAATAATTTAAATTATTTTATTTATTTATTTATTTATTTATTTTCTTCAGAGTTTTCAATTTACAAGATTTCTTTTCATTTGCCTCTATAAACAAATAAGATTTAGTTTTTGGGAAGATCTTTACTTTTCACTAGTTCTAATATGTACAGGTCTTAAAAAAGTGTGTTCTTTTATCTAAGATTAAATGTAATTTTTTGTAACAAAATTACTAAAAGACCAAAAGAAAAGAATTAGTGTTTTAAATCATATCAAAATGTTATTCCTTCATATTATTTATTATATTTACAGTAAAGTACTTCAGAATGTGTACTACAGATTATGTTGTAACGAAAGGATATGACAGAGTATGAATAATCTATAGAACAGTATTCTGGTATAAAGCACATTAAAATTGGAGAGAAAATAATCATGCTTCATTTCACATCAAAATGCTGTCCCTACAGACTATTTATACTCTGCATTATATTTTCAGTACTACGCACTACAGAATACTTTGTAATGAAATGTGTCACCTGCCAGATTATCTATTAAAGTTTGCATTCAAACTTATTTGATTCATTATTTAAATTTTAATCAGTGGTCTACGTCTAATTATTTAAGAAACTGAGTTGAAATAAATTTTTTCAGAATGACAAACCAAAAGCGAATTGTTTCTAAATCATTAAAAGAAATTATCTGAATTACTTTCGTGTTAAGAAGAAATTCGCAATATCAGATAAAATTTTCTGTTGTCAGAACATAATCTTTGTGTGTGCAATACAAAGTTATTAAAACTTCTCCTGCATCTGCATCTGAAAAATCAATTACCGTAATGCAAAGCAAAGGGTGAGTCCATTATTAACGACAAAGTAAAAAATACATATCCAGAAGAGTGAAATATTTCAGAAACATTTGATTTCTAAATGAAGCATCGCCAAGCAAACGTTGCATGAAAAGAAAAAAAAGAGCTTTTGGCTGTCTTTCTGAGTGTAAAATTTTAAATTTGAAGGGTTTTTAAGGAGGTGATAGTCGTAAATTCCATTCCTCAATTTTGAGAAAATTAAGAACCCGTTATCTGTTCTCCAGCATTAAGAGAAAATGTCTTAGATCCCTATGATCAAATTTACAGACATGCGTTAGCCGTCAGTTCATTCTTACGAACGACAACGCTTGTCCACGTAGAACTAATCTGGGAGATTATCTCTTGCAACATAGTGGACTAGATGGATGTCTAGATGCACATCCAGATTTCTAGACCTAAACCCATAGACAGTGTCTGGGACGCCTTTTCTCACCTACAGCCCTCCAGGACATGAAACCAGCGTTATTGCAGGAGTTGACCGATTCCCATAGGCACATATAAACTGCCTCATTTCCAGTAAAAAGTCACGTTGCGGGAGTCGTATAATTGCTAATAGGAAATAATCAGGCTATTATTATTCTTTTTGTTCGAGCTTGCAACATTTGTTTTAGACTTTCCTGCGACGATGAACCTTACGCAGATCATGCATGACTACTTTTGAATAGTATATTATTTGTACTACATCAACCCACGTCTATATTAAATTTCATGAAACGTGTCCATCAATTAAGTTAATGAAACCCGTTCATCTATTCTAGAATAAATGTGAAATTTCTCTTAATTTTAATCACTAGTATATATGAAAATACAGAAAAAGTATTGTAAGGATTATGTTAATTTTATTAACAGTTAAATTTTAAGTTAAAGTTCCTTTCCTGTCAAATTCTTAACTTCAACTTACTACTTCCGGCCAGAACGTAGTTTTGAAATTTACTGAATATTTAATGAGAAGGAGCGGTATTTAAACCATGAAGTTACTTACTGAGACAGACAGAGAAACAGAGTTTCTGAACTACGCGCGTCTGCCTTTTTGGCCGCTCTCTCTCTCAAAGCTGTTATACGCTCGGCCGTACTCAGGCCCTTGCTAAGCTTCGTAGTAAAATAAGTTAAGGGGATAACTCTCATTGAACCTTGATAGCTTTGGCTATACTTAGTTAGTTAATCTTAGTTTTAGTTTAATCCTTAGTCTTTTAAGTTCAAGTCCAAAGTGCGGACTTTATTTGTTCACTCCCAGGCGGAGTTTTGTTAAATCTTATAGAAATAATAAAGGATTATTTACCCTTCTCTCTTGTTGTTTCCTGTCTTCGAACTCTAGCGATTATTCGCATATCAGTTCCTAGGTTCCTCACTTCCAACATTAACTTAGAATTTCAAGTGAGGGACCTTACAGTATGTTTTTATAATCTGAAATATGTTATGTCTTATACTAAGTAGCTATACATAATTCTTGAAATAGAATATTTAGCAACATAAAATGACTAAAATATTAACTTAATTTGTATCGAATTTGAACTAACAGACAAAATAACGAGATCAGAATTAAACCTAATATTACTTTTGAATATTGTTTAAATATTATTTTCAAAATTACTAAAAGTATATCAGACATTTCACAACTTTACACATTTTTTAATTCAAATTAGTACCACATTGCTGGATGGCTTATAAAACAATAAAAAGGAATTTTTATCTTAATCTTTAAATTTTACCCTCAATATATTAATTTATCGTTATTCCGTGAATGAATAGAGGTATTGCCCTAAGTTTATCGATAACTTAATTATACGTGTTTCATTTAATTTGCTAATAAAGTATGCTTTTTCAAAGGAAACGTTATGCACTAAAAACACACATTTTGTGAAGAAAGCCACCGAATGAAATGTTAATTTTAATAAACAATAAACATATAAATTACATAACAAAAATGTTATATTGAACTAATATTAAACTCAACATGCAGTTTGTTTATAAAAACTTACGTTCATAACTATAATTAGTCAAATATTATATTAAAATGTATAAATTTTATTATACAATTTTTTTCTACTCCAGAAGGAGAATCCCAATTTTTTCAGTTCCCTTATATTTTTATCTTTCGTTGCCCTTGTATGTAATGTAGTCGATGCTTAAAAAGATGTTAATGCTGCAGGAGCTATAGTTTCAGCAAAATTCCTAAATCCACGATGTTGTTTAATATCAAAGTTATTATAAAACAAGATTTGCATATACTGAAAAGATACTGAATCTTCGTGCAGTGACTTATATGTTTTTAATTAATTATCATTTAATTAGTCGAACTTTCTCGATTATTTGTTGATAGCATTATCTCAAATTATATTTGTGAAGCTCTTTTATTTTTCTGAGTATCTGGTGCATTAAACATTAACTCTAGTTAGTAACGAGATTGACTGCAGTTTTTACTGCAGGTTTTGGATCGAATAGCCAGCCTTTAAATATAATGAATAGCTGCTAATATTTTAGTAAGTTATGTCGCTGACATTATCTTTGCTTATTTTAATTTCACTGTAATAATGTTTTCGTGCTCTTAATACAGAACGTCTCGATTAATCTCCAAACATTGAATGAAATTTTAGAAATTTGGAACATCACTGCAACAATCACCGACAACGTAAAAGTGCTAATGGACTGTAGCCACACATGCTTATTTGAAATGACTGCAAAAATTAAACCTGAAAAACATGTGTCAATAAACACGAATTTTCTTTTATTTTCTATCAACGGAATATACTTGTTTAATATATGTATATAGATAGATAGATATCTTATTTAATATCTTTATATATTCATTTACAATTTGCCCAACAGCAACTGAAACTGAAGTCCGGCAAGCGTGTACCCCAGTCCACTCCGAGCTCACCATCGAAGGGAGGACGTGAACCTCGCTGTACCTGCGCAATGACCATCGAACAAATGCAAAGGGCACGAAACGGCCGGGCACGGTACGCAGCATCAGTGGCCACAGGTTCGCTCCCCACATCGGCCAGTACTTTACCCCGCAGCCAGAGCCGGCCGGGAGATGATCGCTCACTGACGTACGGCAAGCTGTCAGCTCACCCTTCCAGCCAATCCGTGTATGACAACGTGTCGACGTCGCTCAGAAAATCCACCCCTATTCCCAACGCAGTAAAGCAAACTAGAAGTGATGTCAACTTAACAACTATAGGTACATCTACTTTGAAGTTTATAAGCTACTTAATGTTTTAACCTTAAAATATGTTAATTGTATTTCGAAGCGTGCCTATTATCAAAAATAGTATTCTAGGACAAGTATTGCTATGTAGAAGAATATTTTGTCATATTTTTATTGTTTGAGAGCAAACTTACGTACATTGGTTAACGATAGTTTTCCTAGGCGTCTTCCTGTTTTAGACTGCCCACATTTGAAATGTATGATTATTTCTCAGTTCTCGATGGCATTAAAATTTAGAAGCTTTGAAGGAAGTTCACGATAAAACTATTTGGAATAAATTAATTCCAGTACTGATGGCCAATTTTGAAATTATGATATTTCAGTGCACAAAATCATTTCAAATATTGTTGACGCAAGAAAAGTGTTATAATTTTATACGTTGACTCAAAGTAAAATAAAAACTGCGTGAGTATAATCTCGTAATGAAGATACTGTAATGAAATGGGTCTTTTAATCCCTGAAGAAAAAAGAAATCTCTTAAAAGAAAGAAAATCCGTATGTGATTGATACGGCTGAACCTACGTAATTGAGAACGAAGAGAATTAGAAAAAGAAACGCCTGAAATTGCATTTTAAGGAAACCTTAGTCCCATTTCCAGGTAATCATAAAATTGAAAAGAACATATAAAAATCAATTATGTTCTTTTGCAGAACTTTCTTCTGTAAAAGGAAGAAGTCACTGGGCCAAGTTTTGCTTCCGTAACCATCGCTATTCAACCTAAAGTTTTCTGATTCACACCCATCAACAGTATTAATCCTTCTAAGATCGCCAAAACAATCCCCTATAATAAATGACTCGTGTAAATGTATTCTTTATTGTCTATATATCTTAGAGCCAATATGTTTACTAAGCTCATTTCATTGTACTTTTATTACGTCAGTTTGGCTTCCGCGAGGTTTTGCATAAGAGATGCATGCCCTCCATTTGTTATGTAAATTACATTTGCAGGCTGAAAAAGGCTGTAATGCCCTTTCAACGACTTTCTATTTTCGATAAAGTTATGGAACGTAGCCTGTCGAATATACCAAAAGTCTACCGTAGTTCAAAGGATGCGTTTGGATTTTTGCTGTTTCTTTCTTCTTTTTCTTACTGTTGTAGATTGGCCATGGAGTATTGATTATATAATTAGCACATAAAGTAAAAAAGTGCAACTTGGTAAATATAACATTTATGCATTACCTACAAATAAAATTTATTTGCTTTTGTTTAGTTGAATTAAACGGAACCAATCTAAATCCATATTGTAGAGAATGTTTGTATACACAAGATCAAGTCAGACTGATGTTCAACAAACCCATTTTGAACACTTCTGGCACGATGTATAGTATTATCGTCCATGAAGTATCCGTCGCCATCAGGGTAAAAGTGAAACATTGCAGGGGTGCACTTGATCTGCCAGTATATCTACGTATCTCATGGCTGTTTGCTTACCCTCGAGGAACACCAGGGCACCATTTCCATGCCAGCAGAGCATCCCCTTTTAACGACTTTTTATATGATATTTCCCACCAGACCTTTGCACAGTGCGAGTAAGGCAAGATGAATTGATGCCTTCATGGGGTTCTCGCCAAATTCAACATCTTCAATCAGTGCAAAATAATGTATAGCCTAGTTCACCTGACACAATTACCCGTTTCCAATCCTCAGATGCCCAGTGTCTTCTTTCCTGACACCACTGCAAACGAATTCCTACATGTCAAGCAGAAATAAGTGGTTTTCTCACAGGCACCCGACTGTGTATTTCTAGCCTCTGCGCATAGTTCAAGCTTGAATCTGTTGCGAAAAGCCTTGGTTGACGATCTGTGTCAGTTGATAGTAGAGTCTATGTTCCGCTGTATAGTTCGTCGAAGACGACACCGATCACTATCTTGGAAAACTGTGCTCGAACCTTAGTTACGTCTTCTAGAAAAGGACTGTGAGTTTTGATTCTAACCTTTGAAAAACCTTTGATATGGCTGGTTTTGAAAACCCAGTGAGATTTATTGTCTTCGAAACTGAGGCATTTGCGAAACGGGCACCAATAATAAGCCCTTTTTCAAATGGTGAAAGATCTGACGTTTTCCCCATTTTACTAAATTCATCGTGAAAGCACTCTTACACCTTAGTTTGTAGAGATATTAGGTTATTTCGAAGCAGAAGAGATAAAAGGCGAGTAGTGCTCTCGTCAGAACTCGAACTACGGACCTCTTGAATACTTGCAGAGCGTGTTAACTCTTACACCACGAAGGTATGCTAAGAAGATGGAAGAAGTACCTTATGCATTTCCCCTTTTAGAGAGCGACTGGGTATTAGGGGACTCAATCGCCAAATCCTGGTGGTGGAGAATTATCATCCACCATCTTTCTTTTAGTTCGAGCGCCACTATAGAGATAGTAGTTATTTCGAAACAGTAGAGATTAAAAATGAGCAATGCTTTCGCCGGGACTTGAACCACGGACTCGAATACTCGCAGAGCATGTTCATTGTTACATCACAAAGGCATGCTAAGTAGGCGAGATGAATACCTTATACTAGCATTCTAACTATGCGTAACCCACGTCCTAAAAAAATTGCATACTTCATCACTAGCACGCATTCATATGAAAATCTTTGAAGGTTTCTAATTCATTGGCCAGTGTGTGTATATTCCTGAAACCTAACTCTGAAACTTCACATAGGTCTTTTTTTTTCTCTTGAAGTACTGCTGTAATTTGTTTCAGAAATTCGTCTATGAGTCGATTACTAGTTTGAAGCTTATGTCTGAAGATTTTGGCTTTCAGGTAGTCCTTAAAGTGTAATATAATAAATTTTTAGATTTGAATAATGTGTCAGCCATGCAGTGTCTCTTCGTACAGACAAGAATTTCTGGAAAGAGTTTCCTTGTGACTTTCAGGGATGTTTGTTGTGTAGTTTCATAATATTAAGGGTCCTTCTATTATATCATATTTTACAATGGCTAATTAAAATTAATATTAGTGCATAAGAAACACATAGGAAACACTTATATGAAAAAAGAAACGAAGAAGAAATACAAGACAGAAAGATGGATGAGGCGTAGTATAGTTGATAGTTGATAGTTGACGGGGGACGTGTGCACCATCCCTTTACCGTAATGGTTAATTGGCATATGCAACACGCCCACCTCTATCTTGAGCCAGATGGGCCACACAGGCGCCTCGCACCATACACCGAAACCCAGCGACCAGGCCATCCAGGTGGCAGTCCAAAAGACCAAAGAAGCCCCCAGAAGCATGTTCACACCAACCGCCCGGGCCTAGTATTTATTGAGTCAAAGTTCAACAAATACATGGCCAGACAAGGGCTCAAAAAAAAAATAAATAGATAAATAAAGGGTACATTTTGTAGTTTTGACAAAGCATAAGATTACAAAGGTGCAAGTGCCAGTTTTGAATAAATACTATAATCACATAGACATAATTAGAACAAAACACATACAGATAGCGATAACAATAGAAAACCAAAGGAAGTAAACACCATTACAAAACTACTACTGCTACATACTACAATAACTACAATATTACAAAACTACTACTAGAATACTTACAAACAGTACTACAAACTGATACAATGCTAAATATTACAAAACTGCTACTGCTGCTATATACTAGGCTGATAATAATGCTGATAGTATGATATCGATGATGTAATGATCTTAATACTGATGGTAAGTTCAATACAATAGTTTGTGTGTAAAGCAAGGATACAATACATAAATACATTATGCAACTATATAAATACCAATGCAAGGTAAAGAGGATACATTATACAACTATATATACATACATACATATACATACATACATACATATATATATATATATACATACACACATATATACATACATACACATACAGATATATACCAATACAAGGTCAAACGATACTAATGATTCTGTACGAGATGCAAGACAAGATAGATAATTCAATATAAGATCAATAAGCCATATTGTTCAATACAATAGTTAATGCAAAGTTAATAAAACACTATTTATATTACTATACCAACTGTATATTTCCTATATTAGTGCAATTTTATACGACGCATATCTATACGATGCTCACAATTTAATATATATTACACAGTACTGTATTGCAGGGAACTTATAATTCAATTTTATACAAGATGATACATATCTATACTATGCTCACAATTTAATGTATATATTATATAATACAGTATACAGTACAATATGATTTACAACTAATACGTAAGATAATGGATGCTATATCATTCAATTACAAAAGTTAATGCAAAATTAATGATACATTATTTATATTACGATACCAACTACACATTTCCTGTATTGCATGGGAACTACAATACGGTTATACGATATAATATAATGTACTGCAAATACGTAAGATATGTGATACAATAGGTAAATTAACATGCTTACAGGGTTAGCATACAAGACACAACAATAGGTACAATACAATACTAAGAGTAAATAAATAGAGTATGTGACAGTATATAGACAATGCAATGTAGAAAAATACATATTGTCAAGTAATTGGTAATAATTCTATGCAATATGCAATACAAGACATATGATACAGTATAAAATCGATAAGCTACGTCTATGATACTATTTATAATTTAATGGAATATTTAAAGCAAAAATGAGACCAAAATACTACTTTAACTTTCATACAGTATTTTAACACAATTGCTAGTTCAGTAAAATAATTAATACAATATTTAATTCAGTACGTATCTCAGGGTATAAAAAGAAGTGCAATATATATATTCTTAATAGTATGATGCCTATAAGGCAATGTTCTTAATAACTAAAGCGAATTAATGCAATACTTTGTATACAATACACAAGAGCAACACTTCAGTACAATACTGAGGATAAAAAGACATATTTTGCAACAGTATAAATATACAAATGCAATGTATAAAAAATACCTATGATCAATTCAATATTATTAATTCTGTGCAATATGCGATACAATGCAACAATATAGTTATACCAATATAATGTATAAAAAATACTTATGATCAATTCAATATTAATAATTCTGTGCAATATGCAATACACAACATATAATTCAATATAATCAATAAACTAAATCTAAAATCTAAAGTCTAAAATTCTGCATGTAATTCAATAAAATAGTTAATGCCAAGTTGAATCAAGACTACTTATAACGTTATGCTAATAATCCAGCTAATAATCCAGTTTCTGTATTGCAAAGAATTTAATTTACAGTTCCATACTAAAGCATACATAGCGATACGATGTTCATAATTTCAATATGTTGCATCACATATTCTTAGGGTAGAGCTTATAACTCAACAACATAATATTACATAACTACCAACTTAATACAATAATTAATGCAAGAATTAAAATAATAAGTAAATTAAGTTAATAGACTAGTTAGAATATAATGCAGTACTTAGGGTGCAAATATTGTATATTGTAATTATAATGAAATATGATACAATGCTAATAGTTTTGATACAATAGTTTATTACAATGCTCGATACAATTTTTTTATATATAACCAGATTAGAATACTTAATATGTAGCTTGTAATTCAGTAAGATAGTAATACCATATCTATAGTTTGAGATTGCGAGTATAATACTTATTGTGCAATATCTTATAGTGCATTTAAAATACAATACAATTTTTAATAATATTTGTAACAATACTGGGACTATTAAAAAGAAAGAATATAGTTATAATATGTAAATAGACAAGAATGCAACTGGAGTGTACAAAAATACAATTGTATTATGAAAACACTATGTAAACAGACAAGAATGCAACTGGAGTGTACAAGAATACAGTTGTATTATGAAAACAGGACAAAACCATTAACATTAGACAACCTGACATAGATCAGATCCATAACTGTGGAGAATGTCCATAATTTTTGAGAGTTTTCTGATAAGGTACTTCTGCTTAATTAAAAATTTACTAAATGCTAGTTGATTATCCACAGGGAAAGGAATGTAGTATAACATACCATGGTACATATTGTAACCATAAGCTTTACATATTAATAATTGTTTTTTTCTTTCTCATTTAGGTCAATCAGAAACTGGCACTTTTTCCAGAACGGAGTTAGCCCGTGCTAAATTCCAAGCAGCTAGTCGCTCTGAAGATGCTAAGAGTGTTGATTACGGAATGGGAATGTGTGCTATGATGAGAAAAGGTTCAAGCCAGGAGATACGAGAGGGCCTTAAGAGCAAAAGCAGTGACAATGTCAGTGGAAAAACGACCCCCACTTCTAGAGCGGCTAACTCGGGAAGTCTGGACAGTAATGCCGCTAAAAGAATGCTCAACACCTCGTCCTCGCTGCAAAATTCGCCAGAAGACATGCTCAAAGATATCCCACCACAACCTCCACCGAAACCGGACACTCGAAAACCAGAACCCCCTCCTAAAACTGGGCTGCGCGCAAGCGGGAAAAGCTCAAAAAGTGGTGGCTCTTCAAGTGGAACAGCTTCCAAACCTTCCTCGAAGGATGCCACGAAATCTGGTGCCTCATCCTCTAAAGGGAGTAGTTCCAAACAAGGTAAATCTGGAAGCTCTAAAAAGAAAGGTTCCAGTAAGAAAACGGGTCTCGATATCCCTGATCGCGAAAGATCGCCCCCCTCAGACAACCTGCTCTATGACAACCTGTGCTATGCCACAACACCCAGTTCCAGCAACGAGAATAGTGATGTTCCTTTCCTCAGTTCTGACGAGGAAGAAATTGAAATAGAGCCGAAGCCAAAGGAGAAGAAAAGGATGGAAGGACGAGCAACGGGTAACACATTTAAAAGATCTGGAGGAGTGAATACGCCTTCTGCCAATTCTCCTACTAGCAAACTGCTCATGGAATATGAAATGCACTTGAGGAACGCGCTGGCTCGCGGACTCGATGCAGAAAGCTATAGCCTTCACACCTTCGAAGCCTTGTTGACGCAGAGCATGGAGAACGTAGGTGAGTGCCGTGAGAAATAGACTGAAAGATCACTGGTTAATCATTTCAATTTTATCCCGACTTTTTAGTTCTTTGTGTATTAAACTTTATTTATTTTTCAACCAATGTGCTTGTCCAAGTAATGCATACAACGACACAAAACCTTACACATATCAATACTTGCTCAAGCCGTAACATGAAATCAATATTTCAGTGCTTCAAAGCAATGCTATGAAAATCTATATCCTATGTCTTTCTGTCGTGGTATTGTAATGAAACTCCAATCATATTTTTGTAGAATGTATTTAACAATAATTTAAACAAGTGATGCAAATGTAATGATAGGAATAAATAATTTATTTTATTACTTAGTAAAATATAATAGGAAAATTGGAATACAAAAGCTGAATACTACGCTTCGTTGCTGCAAAATGTTTCTTTGATTTAAAATTTAAATACTTTCAAATATGTTATGAATTTATTCGAAGTACATTTTCTGCTTATTCAAAAGAAAACTGCGCAGCTAACATAAAATGTCCCTCATTCGCGGCCTTTAGTTAGATTAACTTAATCTAAAATAAGTAAAAAATGACATTTAGGTATATATTAAAGTAATCACACGTTACTGATAAACAAATGATGAAGTGACATGTTGATTATAAAGGTTACTAGTGAAGTAAACCAATCAGTGCACTTCAAAAAATTTTGAATGCTGTTTCGACTTTATTTTTCTCATTAGTGTATTTTTGATTTAAGCATATACCTCTTCTAACATACCGAGATCATTTCATTTCTGTTCTAGAATTTTAATTATTAGCATATTACCATTAATATATTCTATATTAATATGTATATTTTCAGCATAATATACATATTATTTTCCATTAATATGCATATTGTTTGCATATTATACCATTAATATGCTTTTAGTATATAACTAAAATGATTCAGCACTTAAGCATTTAAAATTTCGATTTTGAATTCTTTATATTCACTAATAAAGAAAAAAATTGAAGAAAGTATCTGAAAGTTGGTATGTTTTTTCAGTTTCTAGTCACAATATGAAGAATTTTCAGGCACTAAAATTTTTTAGAGATTCATTAATAACTAGATATCCTTTAATAGTATTTTTAATTTGAAAGCTGAATAATGGAAGATTTAAAGGAAGTGTTCTTAAATTCAGCTGTTCAAAATGTTAAATAGTAAAAATCATTTTGCATAAAAAGCCTTTAGTTTTATACAAAATTGAAAAATAATTTTAGAAATACTTTACACTTTAGATAGTTATAGTTGTTTTGTAAAATATTATTGCTATAAAAACGTGAAAGTAGGCATTTATGTACGTTTTAAAGTAATAATGGTCTATAAATCAGCCCTTTGAATAGATTTTTTTCGTATTCATTTAATGTCGCCTTTATGTCTTCAAATAATTAACAAGTCAATTGAAAAGCTTATGTGGTTTCTTAAATCTAGCCGCTAATAATGTAAAATTATATTCTGTTGTAAGTATTTATAGGCATTCGTTGTAATCTGCACATCATTTACTAGCATTTTAAATTTAAAATCTTTATAATATATGTTTTCAAAAATTAATATTGAATATTTTAGAAATGATAAATATTATCTGGAAGCTAAGAATTACTCATAGGTTTAAAACTTCCATCTGTTTAACCTTAGATATGTCATTTAGTCTTTAGTAAACATTAATCGAAGAAATATTTTAGAAAACATACCTTAATATGATACTTTAAAACATATCTTTGAAGCCATGCCTGTTTAATCAATAAAAATTTCTCTTAATTTACTATTAAAACAACGAATTATAAATAGACGTTAGTACATATTTTAAGAAATAATACTCCACATCGAAAGCAGTTTTCACTTTTCCATCTGAGATAAAAATTATGTAAAAATTTTTTTATTAAACTGTGAAATACACTTTGTGAATGTAATATATGGGAGTACTTTTAATTTACAGTGGAACACTGTGATCGTAATATTTTACAGTTTATTATAATAAAATACTCTCTGCTGCAAAAGCTATTTGTACCCGTAAAAACCGTGTGAGCGAGATATATTGTGTGAGAAGACAAGTAAACGTTTAGAAATTATTATTATTGTTTCAATGGCTGGATACTTACAACTCCCCCCCCCATACACACACATTTAAAATGGGGCAGCATTCATTGGTTTAGTTAGCTTTTCTGCCAAAAGCTCCAATATTGGAATTGTTCATTAACTTTACACTTGTACCATACCCACCAGGTCTGCCTTGGGATTCAAACTAAATATGTACACCTAAAGATGGTACAATTTCGGTCAATTAACGTTAAGAGGTTTAGCTGGGAGGGAGGACAGGTATTTTGTTCAAGCAACTCAATTCTGTGCAGTACATTGTTTGCATGCGCGGAAAGAAACAAAATATTTAATACACAGGTACAACTATTATAAAGGTACTAACATTTTTGAAGTTATAAGTTTACAAAGATATCATCTATTACAAAAACACAAATTGTGGCAGAATATACAGTGATGAAATGTGGACTGATAATATTTAAATAAACATTACCGTATGAATACAGTTAAAAGCAAAGCTCAAAATTAAAGCAAGGCATATACGATAATAATGAGTTCCTGGACTATAACTTAAAATTTTTATAATTGCATATATGTTTCTACAACAGAGTATATGTGTAATAAATAAAATGTGAAATTAGTATATTTCTGTCGATCAGCCCTCAGCCCATGCTCAGCCAGCGAAAGGTTTTTTGATTTATTAACATAATATAAATATCACTTTACTAACTAATTCTAGTTTTAGGCCTTTTTTAGCTATTCACATTAAACCAAAAACGGGAAGAGGGAGTAGCAAATACTTGTCTTCAAATAAAGACTCGCTTTATTATTATAGCTTGATTGAAAAGACTTTAAAATGAAAAACAGAATAACATTTAGATTTTAATGTAGTCATTGTTCGTAGATGTTCAAGAAAGTGACTAAAGAATACTTAGTTAATAGTTTATTCATTTAATGAAAGCAAAAGCAATTTTTATTGCACTTAAAACAATTCAAATCCTTGCTAATTTAGAAATTTGTGTTAATAATAATCTCAAATAAGTAATTAAAACGCTGTTCGTTCCCCTTTCATTCAAAAAATTTGACATTTGCGGCGTGGGTCACTGTTATGTCATTGAAACATAATTATTTTTTATACCGCAGATTTCTACCAAAAACATCTTCTTCTAGTGATCTGCCGCCATTTATAATATTAAATTTTCTTTCTATGTTTCCTTGCGTCTTCTGAACTATAGGATATTCCTTCTACGTTGTCTTGTGTCTTCTGAACTCTGTTAAGCGACACCAGAAAATTAATGTGCTTTTATTAATAATAAGCTCCTAAAATTTCACTCAAAAACGTAGAACAAATACCACAGTTATTATATTTATCAAAACTTTGTTGTGGAAAGAGGAGCAAGTGAATTCGGATAAGATTAGAGCTGCTCGATATGAGCAAACGTTCATGTGCATATTGTCCTCTGTGTCACATTTGCGTGGTCAAATGCCTACAAGAGATTTGTCAGAACACTGAATTTCTGATATTTCTGATTCATTAATGTTCAGACTTACAATTATGTATATAATTAATTAATTATTTAATTATATGTCTGCGTTTCTATCCTTTTAACTAGATGTCTGCTTAGGGCTTTCATATTGTATCTGAAATTTTGCTATTACAGAATTTAAAACTGAATTTATAAGTATACAGAATATATAACTACATATACTGACTATATAATTAATATAAACTGAATATATAACTATACAGAAATGTAACGATATCTGAAGGATTTCAAACAAACAATCCCATCTAAAAATTTCAGATTATGGTCGAATGTGTGTAAGAGTGTGCCGTTAAAGTTTCAAAACGTTAAAATCAAATTAAAAAGAAATTGTAACTTGATCTTGGTATGCAGATTTTAATTTATAGTTGAAACAACTTTTAACTAAACAATTACGATAGATCTATTAGTTTAAATATTAGTCACTAGGAAATAAAAGATAAAAAGCATAAAATCTTATACTTAAAATGAGCTGTGAAACGCCAAATAGGAAAAATAGGGAAAGTATTGTTGTTATATTATTTCATTTTAAATGAACGCGCCGTGGGGACATGTCCTGTTACTCAATAAATAAAAGACTTATTATCGAATACATATATGTCACTGAATTGCGTGCACAAGGACATTGTAATGAATACTTCCTTGAATTGATTGGAGTACCTTTTGTTTTCATCGGGCGTATTATTTGAAGAATGAAAGCAGTAAAAATCTCAAATAAATTTCTTTAAAGGTATTTAATAGCGAGTAATTATAATTACGCAACGAAAAATTACGAAAGGCAAAATACTTTTGCGTGCTAAAGAATCATGTGCAATCTGTAAATAGTAAACAGATTAGTAAATAGTTAACCATAGTAACCAGTATTTACACATTAACCAAGGTATTTCCTGTTCCTGAAACAGCTTACTAACTAAATCTTATGAGAAAGAATTTTAAAACCTACGCTATTAACAGCTAAGTAACCATTAGATAAGTGGTACCCAGGTGACAAAAATAGCCGCTGGCAGCAAAAACAATCTATATTAACTGCTATATAATTTTATGCTCATTTGATGCTCCTAATCAAATGAGAAAAGAATACCGCTTCCTTAAAAAAAAGAGTATAAGTATGCAATAAAAGTTGTAATTTTTTAAATTAAATATAAACAAAATATTTACACATTGACAAAAGAATCGTAGTGTGTCATGAAAATGATAACTTACTGAACTGGATCTTAAAGGAATACAATCGCTGTTGCTAATATGAATTTTTTCGTCATGAAGTTTCTTGTAAAGCACACTGAGTTCAATTTGCTTAGAGCAACATATTTTCTTGTGTGTTATGTTTAAATTCTTTTGTTGCCTCAGCATTGTGTTCATGCCATGCATTCTTATTTAGTTTCGGTTGTTTAATTTTTCAAACTTTAAATTAATGAATGTGTATAGTTTGTTTTAAATTCGATTGTGAAATTTTGTTACTACCCTTTGAAATATAGTGCTTCATCTTGTATGCATTTATAACGAAAGGGGAAGATCATAAAATTTCCTTTAAAATTATGAACTAGCATAGCTATCATAATTTAGGCCGGAGAACAATTTATGATAACATTTAGTTATTAAAGAGAAAAATTGAAAATTTCTATAAACTTTAGTAATTTGGAAGGCAGAAATGTAAAGTACAAACATGAACTATGTTTTAAAAAGTGGTAGAATTTGCTTTATTTCTTTGTGCATTTCTTTTATTATTGGCATCGCGTTTTTGATAGAGATATAGACGAACTGACGCTAAAAGTGCACCTAAATGAATTTTAACAAAGCAAGCAAGATAACTGAGAAACTAAAATAGCAACACAATCAGCACATTGAAAGGATAAAAGCGAGAGAGAGACAATCGATATGTTTAAGATGAAAAATCGATTCAAAATATTTTAGTTTTGTTTCAGCTTTATCTGTATTAGTTGTTAAACGTTTTGGTTTTTGGAAGTGTATAATTCTTTTTGTTTGATACTTTATACAAGGGCCTATGTCATTAGTTTTACGCAGGAAACATCTGACAAAGATTAATTTTGAATGGATGAAGTTTACAGTGGTTTAATATAAGCAGTTACTCTTTTTACAATGGAAAGGGAAAATATCTAAATTTAAAAGAAGAGGTAAGTGATTATTTGAAATTAAAGTCAAAAATTTTAGTTAAATTCTTTTGATCTTAGACACTCCCCCCACAAATATATATCTTATTTATTAATAAAAGAAAAACTATAAAGTGAAAAACAATTCAAAACCGAATTCATTTGCGTTCTTCCAATTTAATTTTTGGTTTTAACATTTTTGCCCCATTTGTCTTGCAGTTTGCCAGTGTGCTGCTGGTTTTTTGTTTTCTGCATATATTTATTTTAAACTGAATATGCGATAATTTTAAATGTTGTAGCATCATTAGCTTATTTTTGAAGCCGGCAACATGAAAAATCAGCAGTGCCATGTATTACTCGTAATTATAATCATAACCACTTCGCAAGAGCTATTTCGTACAGAAATAAAATGTGTTCAGTCGGCACGACGGCTAAATTTGACTGAAACTATGTATTTATGCATCTGTGTATTTCAGTCATCGTTATCTACAAAATCAGTCATAATTGAAACACACACACACACATATAGTATATATATTATATATATATATATATATATACAGGATGATTCTAATAGTTTTTACAAATTAAGAGGGGTGATAGTACTCATCCAGATGAGCAATAATTACCATAGAAGATAGGGTCATATTCCACTGTGAGAGACAGAAAAGAGGAGTATTAGAATTTCAACCGGAACTTACAACAGTGTTGGGAGAGCGAATGAGTGAGACCAAAAGTTTAGCAATCCGTTCAGTGAGAAATAGAGAAAAAGATGTACAAAAAGAGTGTACAAAACGGATAAAACCGAAAACTTGGCGTTAGAGTGTTAATTCGAGCTCAAACTTTGATGGCAAACACTCAAATGCACATCTTTAATCGCAAGGTCTCAACCTCGCAAACGATTGCAGCACGTTAATTAGCTAATCAAGGACTGAATACTCCAACTTCAACTGTATGCCTAGATTAGCATGAAAAGTTCATGCTGTATTCCGGCTGTCAGAACTTCGTGTGTCGTAGAAGGGTGCTTCATGTAGAATGAACCCAGCACAGCAAATGCAGGATAGGAGTACAGGATAGAAGTTGGCGAAGGGGAAAAACTGCTATCAAGATAGCAGTTTTTTTATTCAAATAGTTTTTTAGTTCAGATGATATTAAGCCCTTGATTAGATAATTAACTTGTTGCAATCGTTTGCGAAGTTGAGACCTTGCGAACCGAAGACGTGCAGTTAAGTGTTTACCATCAAATTCTGAGTTCGAATTAACACTCAAACGCCAAGTTTTCGATTTGATCTGTTTTGTGCGCTCTCTGTGAGTTTTCCACTAAACTGATTACGCAACTTTTGGTCTTGTTCATTCGCTTTCCCAACATTGTAGTAAGTTCAGATTGGAATTCTAATATTCTTCTTTTCTGCCTCTCAGAGTAGAATGCGACCGACCCTACGTTCTATGGTAATTATTGCTTATCTGCATGAGGACTATCACCTCTCTTAATTTGTAAAAACAATTTAGAATCACCCTGTATATATATATATATAGAGAGAGAGAGAGATATGTATATATCTATATATATATATTATATTTCTTTAGTAAACAAATTAATATGTATATACATATATAGAATCTATAGTTAGTAAGCTTAATTCCGAAAATTGTTTTAAAGTAACTTGAATGTAAATTGTTAAAAATATTTAACCTTGACTTGAATTAAATCATGAATAACAAAATTTCAATTCCAAAAAGAAATTAAATTAAAAGCAATTAATCATTGCCATTGATCGGAAATTAGTTGAATTTTCAAGGGAAACAAACCAACTTCCGTTCAATGAACAATAATTAAGAAATAAATACGAAGGTGTTTCGTCCTTTACTCAAGTAATAAGGCGATGCCAAACTGGCAATTTAAGTAAGGCCAAATATTTCCGTGAATTGAAGAGATCAAGAACCAATGCAGAGCACTAAAGAACTCATTCTGATTAAGCATTTTCGCTAATTCAATTTTGAGTGAAAAGCAATTTATGCAGTAAAATTGATAAATTACTTGAGCAATTGTCCCCCGACACCATCGTGTTTATGCATTTTAATTCAAAACTATTTGTAAAAAATTAAGCATTGGAAATTGGCATTATGAAATAGAACTCAAAGTAATTAAAATAAAGATTAGAAAATTACGAAATATAAGAAATATAATGCAATCTTTGCAAAAACAAATCAAAAAAAATTTAAATTTAAAATATATATAATAAGAAAAGGGAATGTACATGAAGATATAAAAGGCCAGATAAAGCATTAATTAACTTACGTTCTTTCTAGTGGGAAGTGGGCAAAGAGTTTTTTTCGTGTCTTACTCATAAGGCTTGTGTTTCCGAAATTCTTTATCGGCGGCGGGGGCTTTGAATTATTTCAATTGGCGAAACTTGTGTGAAGTAATTTATGGGAGAGGGAGTGACTAGGAATGCTTGAGGGGCGTATGTTGTGGAGTTCTTATTTGAGTGAAACTGTCTGTTAAAATTTTTGAATATACTAGTGAATGAAAATAAATTAATTTCTGGCTAATTGTCGTGTCGTAAGGAGGAAGAAATTAAGAAAAGGAAAAAAGGAATTTTCACTGTCAAAGAGCTATTTGACAGACTAAAGATTATGAAATAGGCTCATTCTTTTAGTAACAGCATAAGTTTGAAGACAATTAGCTTGTTACATTATATACAGCTTTGTAATTACACTATGTACAAATCCTTCAACTGATAGTCATCCAACTTATACCGCCTTCTCAGGTTTAGGAACAAGTTATCATATCCCTATCAGTTAAATGATTTAGAGTGAGTATTTATTGCCTGCTCTTTTAAGGCAATGGTTAATAAATTGATTAGGTATTAGATTATTTTTGAGAATTTTAATAAGGAGCAAAATTTCGCGTTGTAGATCTATCGTATCTGTGCAGATATTTTTAATTCGTTGTATTTTATTTATTATTGTATTGTTAATTACTTAATATAATATATATATATATATTATATAAGTAGATAGATATATACAACAAATTTGGCTGTGGGGCGCTTAAAGAAAGCATTCTACGTCAAAATCGTTCAGTAGTGGAAAGGAGATAAAAAAGCGGATGTTTCAGTGGCAACACATTAAATGAGAAAGGATTGCTTGCTTGCAGATATCTGAAGCCCTTCACTAATCGTGCCGGGGATTATGTTAAAACCTGTCGGCGTGTTTTCATTCCCCCTTTTTTTTTTTTTTTTTTTTCCTTCTTATTCTTCTTTGAAAGGAATGTTAATTTTTTTTTTTTACTTTTTCTTGTATAAAATAAATAAATAATTTAACATTTAATTTAGGAAATTTATCACTCAAACAACGAAAAACAGTTTTTTTCCTTTAAATGTAGCCCACCAGCGGCCGAGCGGTAAAGACGCTGAACACTAGTAGTTCGGTCTGAGGTTCGAATCCCGCGAACGGGCTGGCTGCATGGGCGTTTTCGTGGTTTTCCCCATGTGTAACGTGTATACGAGCCAGTTTCCCTTAGAAAGTCCTCCACGAAAGGCATCCCTCCCTTTAGGCAGATAGCCCTCGTGTGCTTTGCCATAATTAAATACACCTTTAAATGTAACAGTTAACTTGATTAATGTAGTTTATAATACGCCTTATGTATTATCGAGTTTTAAGTTAGAAAACATCACTTTCCCTTTCTCAGAATGAACTGAAATATTAGGAAATAGGCAAACAAACTACTGGAATTATCTGCGTCTTATAGCTGCCCATTAGTCCATGGCTTCCTAACACATACGGCAGAACGATTAGATAATGCGTTTTTATGACAGCCTTTGCATAGGAAAGGAGCACTATATTTTACTGTTCACCCAATGACTTGTGTTCTTTTGTTCTTTTCCTTTCTATCCTTGTACATTATGCTTGTTTATTTGTTTCTTTTGGGTTCTGCTTCTCCCATTCAGTTGCGTTAATGCGTGAGGTGCACGTGGAGCTGGAAGAAGTGAGGAAAGAAGAACAGGCGCTGCAGTCCCATGACGAGCCCGAGGGAAGTCGGGCTTTTGCAAACGCAAGTGAGTTGGTTTCTTTTTGACATTTGTTGAAAACAAATTGGGTAAACAATGCAGATAACTGACTGTTATGTTTCATAACTGAAGATGAAATAAAAATAATAATATTTGTTATAAGCAATTCATCGTTACGAATAGGAATTATTCTGTCAAACGGAAGGGGTTATAGGTGAAGTAATATAAAATAACAATAAATCTGTTAATAATAAAACTAGATATGGGCAGGCATTCGTATCATTAAACAGAAGCTCTTTCGAAGTTGATAAAGAATTCTGTAAAGCGTATAAATATAAAGCTGACTGGATATGCTCACGCGCTACAGCTGTATTAGTTCAATAGAAATTTATACTCCTCTTAATACATATACATAAAATAGACATAATGAAAGAACGATAACTATAATTTAAAAATTATTAATTGCTGTAAAAGAAATTTGCTTTGCTAAAAGCCTTTTGTACGCTTATGTTTCTACAGATGTGAATATAAAATAGCATATTGAGTGGAGACAGATACGAAATAAAGGCGACACTGTTAAGTTTATCTGAGGAATTACATTTGTAAATTAGGAATGTAGCAAAATTACGAATGTGGCTGCCCTCAAATTAAAGTATACAAACTGACATTGCAAATTTAGAGTTTAAAAAGAAGAAAACTATTTTAAAAGGTAAATAGTAGGTTAAAATTTTGGTATAACGCTAAAACCAACACAAGCCTCATGTAGTCAAACATTAGAGCATATTGTGATCCTAAACTGATGCCTGTACGTGAAACGAAAAAAAATAGATAGATTTCAGCCGCAGAGTAATCTATAAAAAATATTACTTGACAGACACAATAAACCAAATACTGATCAACTTGGCTATATCCCTATATAAAATCCTTTTTATTTGTAAGTATTCACATATTACTTAGTATAATAGGATTATCTTTCCTATTACACTAAAGCGCAAACTACAGTGGAACAAATGAAATATTATCTATCAAGAGTTTCGTAAAAATTGTGGAAGTGGAAATAAAAATCAACTGTCACATAAAATAATAAAAGGATAAAAAAATAAAGGGGGAAATGAAGAAGGTTATTATTTGTTCCAAGCCTTCCTTGAAGACTTAATACATTTTACTATACCTAAAAAGGATTTTAAAATGTCATTATTCTTGAATTTTGAATGACTTGTTCTATGAACATCAACTAGCTCCTACTGTGAGCTCGAATTTACTTGTTCTTTAAACGCGTTCCAACTGTCGTGCGAGCAAAGACAGGAGAGATTTTATAATAGTTCTAATGACGAAAGGTATGTTAGTATTAATGAAAAACCATAATTAAGAAAGTAACATTAATGAAACCAGCATCCAAATTTGTAATACAGAGAGCGTTTACACATTTTTAGAACGATCTGGAAGCCGTTTAATTAGTGTTTAAAATGTAAAGAGTATTTGTTTTAAATGTTCGATCAGATGGCTTTTTTTTCTGGACACAACTCTGCATCGTGATTTCCGTGCTAGGAGGACTTTTAATAAAACTCCCAGTAGTATTAATTTCCATTCCTGTTCCAATGTTTTACATAGTCTATCAATAGTGGTAGGTTTGAACTTAGACAGAGCTCTGCTCAAGAGACCAAAAGCACAGTAGTCTGTAGATAGAGACTTCGAATATTAGTCCAAAGGGACTTTGTCCCTGAAGGACAATTGTTTTCGTTTTGCGATTTTGCATTGAATCACTATAAATGTCTGTTTCACTTTTCAAACTGCTGCCACCAAATGTTAGAGTCCTGCATTATATTTGAAGGAATTAAATAATGAAAATTCCGCATAAATGTATCGATATTTCTCGCATTGTGATAAAGCAACAGTACATTGAATTTTGAATGACGTAATCCACCTACGTAATCCTAATATAGGCATGTGGAAGACCAAATTTGAAATTTGGAATTTGTTTTATGATCGATTTCATATTTTGTAAAACTTTAACGAATTTTATATTAACAAACTCAAGGATTTCAAAGCGAGTAATGGTAATACTATACGGGGAAAAAAAAAAAAAAAAAAAAAAAACTTTTTGTATCTCCAGCGCGCGGAACTGTGTATCGGAAATTCTAAAGATAGACTCATTTTCAAATTATTTTGCGACATTGCTCTTGAACTGAAATTTATGGTTTAAGTGCGAAGAACATGATATTTAATAATAAAGGTAACATACAAAACGTTAAAAGAAACGTCCCTTTGGACGTAATTTAAAATCTGAAACCTTTCAGATTTTTTTTTCGTATTTTTAATTTCTCATAGTAAGAGAATTCTGCGACAATCATAAATCACTTATAAGGTATTTCTCCCGCCCTCTTAGCGTGTCTTCGTACTGTACTGGTCTGCACGCTGGGCGCGTATTCGATAGGTCCGTGTTTCGAGTCCCGGCAAAGCCGTTGAATATTTTTCATCTTTTCTGCTTCCAAAATCCCTAATGTCTCTACAACGTTGATATTGTTGTGTTTCTATTGGTACGTGGATTTGGAGTGAATGGGACAACGCAATTTATTTAGCCAGTATTACTCAGGTTATAAGGTATTTCTCCCTCCTTCTTAGCGTGCCTTCGTAGTGTAATGGTCTGCATGCTCGGTGCGTATTCGAGAGGTCTGTGGTTCGATTCCCGGGGAGATCGTTGCTGATTTTTCAAGTCTTTTCCTTCCCAATAAATGTCTCTACACACTTATTGAAACATTCTTTTCATAGATGGAGCCAGCTTTATACATTTTCCCATTTTTTTCGATAGTAAAAATTGCTGTCATTTAGGTAAACCCATGCTGATCGCTTTTTGCGTGCTGAATAGTTTTTATACAGGATTCTGCAAATTGTTTTGCGTTCAGCGACATGCCTCGACAAAAGCTGATATATACGTTATGTTTTTTAGTTTTTATACTGTAAATTTTCGTTTATTATTTTAGTTATTAATGTTACAGATGTATATAAAGATTTTGAAACTGATTTCTGCGTCGTCGGAAATTCTCTTGCTAACGATGATTTATTTTGAGGAATACAGAATGAAACAGAATATACGTTTTTCGGGTAGCATTTAGAAAGTTTAATACCATGCATTTCACATTGTTTTTGATTAACGGAATAAGAATATTCTCTTCGAAAAGCGAAGAAACACCTACAGCTTCTTTACAAACGATATTTTGAGAGAAGATAGAATTTAAATGTAGCAGACAATATTTCTCATTTCAAATAATACGCTGTTGCCCAAAACCTTTATTCCAAAACAATTGCATTTTTTAATTCTTTATCTGAATGTTCTAAAAATGTGTAACTACTATTTATTATGCATTTGCCTTATATTCCCTAAATCGCATGGGTCATAAAATCCGCATACCAAGTTCATGAACAATAACATAATAAGTATTTATTTAAATTATATTATATTCTCGTATCATATTTGGCTTTATGTGGACGTAATTTTATTTTACACAGGAAAAAACCTCTATGAAATGGACTTAGTAGTTTTGTGCATTAACAATTTTATATCAACACATCAATAATTTTAAGTTTGTCTATCTCATGTCCATGTTCCCAGGATGTCCCCATGGATATCCCCAGGAAGCCTGTAGAAGCGCAGATCTCTCGAACATCATGTTCAATGATACTATATACCAGCAAGTGGCCTAACTTCGCCAAAATTACAGCATTTGCAGACGATGGCGTCTTCGTGATCAGCGAACGAACACAAAAAGTTCTTCAACAACATTGCCAAGAAATAGTTTATATATTCCAGAATTACTACAAGAGACATAATTTAGAAATCTCAATCCCCAAATCGCAAGTAATGACCATTCATAAGCCGGGACAGAAAATTGCAAAACAACTCTCAATAAAATTAGAAACAAGTAAAACTAAAAACCTCAAATCATTTAAAATATCTTGGGTAACTGCTCGATCAAAAATTCAGCTTTATAGAACATCTCCAGGATATAAAGATTTGCACTCGCCGAATTGGACAGAATCTTCGCAGAATGCAAGGATTTAATTTACTTACTTACACCAATTGAGTTGCTGTACCACTTAAGAATATCAGCATTTGTAGTCAGTTGGTGGAGCATTGTACTATCGCTAAGCCTAGCCAAAAATCTCTATAGAATATTAGAATTTGTAGCGGAATTTATAAAATTACTTCGGAAGATGGGTATTTGTGACCTATGGTTATTAAAGAAACCCTGTCAAGACTTTGACTGTGCTGAATGATTTTTTTAGATTGCTTTTAGATTTTCGCATTTGATTGCCTGGTAGTCTATGAGAGTTGTAAGTTTCGTAGTAGCTTTCCATTTTGAATTTGTTTCAGCTATACCTGGGTATTTTCAGCTGTATACGGCCGAGAATTTAGGGTCTTTGATGATTTCGCACTCGAACAGATAGTGATCGATGCTACCTGTTGAGCCACCTATGCATGAATCTGTGTGGTGCAATCCGAAGCGAAACAGGCTTTAAAAGGGCCATGTGCCGTCAGGAAATATGTCATTGCTCTGCCTGTAGTCTTTAATTCCTTTGAGGGTACCGGGAGGAAGTTAAATATTTTCCTGCCTGTTAGCTCTTGCGTCCAATTAGTTTTCCACAGGGACATAAAGTCCCGTTCCAGTCTTGATTTAAAAATGTGATATTGGAATTTGCAGAGAGGCGGCTGGGGTACGTTATCCATTTGCACTCTCTCTTGCCAAGTTTGTCGGCTGCTTCATTGCCCAATGTGCCCACATGGGCGCATGTCCAATGAAGCTTGGGACGGGTTTTGGGGAAAAAGGATAGCAAGTGTTCAATGACCCTTACTAGTGGCGAGAGGCTCAGTCCCCGATTATTGCCTGTAGGCTTGAGGCAAATTATAACGCTTGTTTCTTGTTGTTTCCTGGCAAATTTCACAGCTTCTCTGATGGCTAACAGTTCTGCTTGGAATGCAGAATTTGTGCTGTTAAACTTTGCATGCCATGTTTTAAAGAGCAAATGAATTCTGTAGACACAGAAGGCAC